TTTCTAGAAGATTCTTGAGTAACCTTATAACCGTGGTTTTGAACTCTATATCCAGTAGTTTGCTTTCTTCCATTTCTGTCATTTGTGACTTGTTTCTTTGTCTCCGTATTTTGGCTGCTTCCCTGTGTTGATAGAGTGGCTTTGTGTGCTAAGTGTCCTATAGGACCCAGTGTCTCTCAGCCTCCCCAGTCATCTGAGGTATATGCTTTTGGTGCACCCCTTTGTGCGCTTTGTGCACAGTCTTGTTGTAGTTAAGCCTTGATTTCTGTTGGTATTACTGGGAGGAATTGACCTCCAGGCCAATTGGCTATGAGGACCACTTTTGTCTACAATGGGAGAACTTCTGTGCTGGAGACACCCTTATGAAGCAGGACTTGCTTCAATGGGGCTTTGGTGCTCACTGAGTCTGTCCCCTGAGTGTGTCTCTTATAGATCTGAAGCGTTGTAATCTGATGTGGTCTCACTCTGACCACTGGGCACACTGGCTGTTGGATCTCCAAGGAGGTGCAAAGTCAGCCACTGCCTGAGGCCACCCAGCAGGAGTTACAGAGAGAGCTGAAGATTCCTCCTCTTTGTTTAGGGTTTGGAGGTGCCCAGATGAGGCGCAGCTGTGAAGCAGTGCAGGCTGCTGACGAGCCTTAGGCCTTCTTTTGGAAGCTCTGGGGTTCTTTGACCCAGCTGCAGTTTGTTAGGTTTTAGATTGCAAAAGGCCAGGCCATTCGTATGCAAAAGCCTCTGCGCACAGCTTGGGTGGGGCGGGGTCTCAGGGAATCACGGTGCAAACAGCAATGGTTGCCTGTTGGCCCTGCCCCGGATAGGTCCTTGGGTCTCTGTGTCCCTCGGCCCCATGCAGGAACAATGAACGCTGCAAGCACCTCTGAGAGAAAGCCGTCCTTGTGTTCTGGCCCAATGCCAGGCAGTCCAGTTTCTCCCCCTATGAGTCTGGGTCCCCAGAGTCTCACCCAGAATTGGAGTTCAGAGCAGTTGGGAGTTTGTATCTCTCTCTTGATTGAAAAAGACCACAGCGTACCCAGTTGCCAGCCCGTTTCACGCGGCTACATACCTCCGCTCTTCTGCACCTCTGCACCTCCTACCAGTCTAGATGCACTTTTCTCTTTCCCTCTAGTTGTTGGACTTCCACTCAGCCAGCCTTGCCATGATTCTGGATAATATCCATTTTGTCTTTTAGTTGTAGTTTTGATGTGGTTGTGCGAGGCAGCAAGTTCAGGTGTTTACTTATGCTGCCATCTTGGTTCCTCTGTATTCCTGATTCTTGAGTAAAGACTGAGCTTGTATGTACAGAACAGCTGTTATCAATTTCTTCCATCAGAGCCTTGCTTTATTTTTCTACCATCAACTATCATTTATTTCAGGTAGGATTCCATAACTGTAAATAAGATATGATTGGGGTTTAAACTTCATAGGCATATTTGTCCTGACCTACTCCCCTGTGGTTTTGTGCTTGTTTGTTTGTTTGTTTGTATTTGTTCTTTTTATAAAAACAGCTGGTAAAAACATAAATATAAAGAAGAAAAGAACTTATAAGACCATCATGATTTTTATCCTGCCAAAGACAACATATTGGTTACACTTTCAATTCAAGATTATTCTTTGTTATTTTAATCGCCATTTAATTTGTACTTTGCCAGTATAATAGACCACTATACAATACATTAGAAATCAGTGTTTTATACTGACAACACCTTACAGTGCTTTGGATTGCAAAATCCTTATGATTTACCTCATTTGACCTTCAAAGCAAATCTGCAGAGTAGGTAGGAATTATCATCCTATTTTATAGATAATTGAGATTTACAGATTTGTCCAAAATCATAATTGAGACAGATCTGAGACCTGAATTCAATTTAATAATTAGCATTCTTTCCACTCCATCCTCTTACTAATTGGCTATAAGCCACTTTGCCTTTTTTCATTCCTAGATTTCATTATTAAAAAGGTACTTTGACTTAATGATATTGTAAAATAAGGGTATACCATTCTATCCACCCCTGATCCTTATGCCTTAGAATATTACCACCGTGGTACAGGGTTTTCCTAAATTTGTATTTCTAGTGTCCATCATAAAATTACGATTCTGGTATTTTGCTAATAATTAATACTTCTTTATAGACAGTTAGTACAGTTTATCATCTGTGGAAAATGTGAAAATACACATGATGGTTTTTGTTGTATGTCAACGTAAGATAAGTCAGTATATCACTTTTTCTTTATCAATACTGTTTTATGACCTGCTTTTTATGCTTATGAATATATTATGATTATTGCTTCATATTGCTAAATTTAAGATATATCTACCTCATAATTTTGAGTGGCTATGCTTATGTTCAAAGTTTAGGTTGCTTAACATTTTTCAAACAACCTTGCCATAAATATCCTTTTATACCTTTATTTGCACACTTATCTGATTTTCTTAGAAGAAAATTCCTAGAATTAGTTTTGTCAGGTATACATGGTTTTAGATGATTGTGTGTGTGTGTATGCTTTGTTTTTTAATTTTGTGGGGTTTTGTTATTTGCAAAAGTATCCTATATATGGTGTTATATTCCCACCAGCAATGTATGAGTGCCTATTTTCTCCATATGCTCACCAGTACTGGGTATTATCAGGTCTTTTAATAATACTTCCTTGTTTTAATTAGCTTTAATTAGTTTTAATTATTTGATTATAAAAGACATTAAATATTTTTTACTTCTCTGTTGGTCATTTGTATTTCATTTGTGAACTATAAAATCTGCCCATTTTTCTATTGGGTTAGAATTAGTCTTTTTTCTTCCTTATGTTTTCCTTTATTTTTAAGACTCCTTTACAGTTGAACTAATATTCTGGCTTGAGTCCTTTAATAGCATGCCATCGTTCTTCCCACACAACTCAGGCTGTAAACTTGTAATGATGACACCAGTAATAACAGCCAGTCAGTTCATTGTTTTATAATTGCTTGAAGTCCTTATGATTTACCTAATTTTAGCTAATTTTAAAGATAAGGAATGTTAAACTTTTGCCCTGGCATCCAAATTGACTAAAATAAAATGTCATTAAGTTATGTTTTGACAGAAATGTTGAGGGTTTGTGTGTGTGTTCTGTTAGGTTCAGGTGAGTTTTTGTTTGGTTTGTTTAGTCTATTTACCATGATTAAGTTGTGTGTTTTTTTTTCTTAAACTTAGGTCGTGACAAAGACCTTTCATGGTGCAGGCTTGGTTGTTCCAGTAGATAAAAATGATGTTGGGTACAGAGAGCTCCCTGAAACAGATGGTAATGTATTTCTCATGGACACATGTGTATATGTACATATATATGGCAATATCTGGAGGAAGGCTTTCCTTCTATGGAACAGTAGATGTATACATGTGCCTTTTGTGGGACAGTCACTAGACCTTAGTTATAAGGAGCAAGCTCCGGTTTTAGGGTTAGTCAGGCCTGAAGTAAAATTGGGTTTGTACCTGTGTAACCTTGAGCAAATTATTTAACTCCACTAAACTTTGTTATTTTTATCTGTAAAATGGTTAATGGTGAATACCATTTATAGGGAGGGGTGTTCGGGGTATAAAAAAAGTATGTAAGGTCTTAGCACAGTGCTTGCCTTAATAGTGCTTAAAATATAGTAGTTACCCCCAACCGGTGTGGCTCAGTGGTTGAGTGTCGACCTATGAACCAGGAGGTCACAGTTCAATTCCTTGTCAGGGCACATGATGGGTTGCAGGCTTGATCCCCAGTGTGGGGCATGCAGGAGGCGGCCAATCAATGATTCTCTCTCATCATTGATGTTTCTATCTCTCTCCCTCTCCCTCTCTTAAATCAATAAAAATATATTTAAATATATATATACTAGAAGGCCTGTGCACAAAAATTTGTGCACTGGCAGGGAAGGGGGGGTCCCTCAGCCCAACCTGTGCCCTCTCACGGATCACGCTGCCGCTCGCCCTGCCCGCCCAGCCCACCCCGCCCAAGACACGGCAGGCCCAGATCCCATGCTGGGGTGGACAG